TGGTTTATTTATTTTTTTTTCAAGAATTTTAATTCATTTCTCTATATACAAATTTAATAATTAAAATGCAAACTTCCAACAATTCGAATGAGTGGATAAATTGGATGAAGAATCTAGCTCAAGAATAATTATTAAATACTACGAATACAAACATTTTAGCAATTTTCAAGAAATTGGTACTGGTAGCTTTGGAAAACGGTCAAAGCGTTAAAATTGTTTCATAAATTTAACAATTCCACTGTGAAAGTACTTGTTGTGATGTACTTACAAAGCATAAATATGTATTTCGTCTGTTTAGTATTAATCAATTTATGCATCAAGTTAAAATTTATATTTATAACAATTTAGCTTGAAATTCAACGTGACAATATTATCGGTTTTTGCGGAATAACTTCAAGTAAAGGTAGATCTTCATAATAAAATTTGTATATCAAAATATAATATTTTTATTCTAACACATTTTTTATATATATTTGTATTATTTTTTTTTAAAAAAATAAAAATAAATAAAAAAAATATTGGATTGGCAATGGAATATGCCTGATGGTGGGTCTCTTAAAAACTATTTGAAGGAGATTTTTGGTAAACTTACTTTGGAAAGATAAATACAAATTTGCATTCCAGTTGGCTTGTGCTGTGTCGTGTTTGCATGAAGAAGGAATTGTTCATACAGATTTGGTAATCTTGCACGATATATAATTTATTTTTATTATTAGTTAAATTTATTATAATCAATAGCATTCCGGCAATATACTAACTAATTCGTTAAGGTATTATTAAATTAGCTGATTTTGGATTATCGTAAGAATTGAAGCAGCTACTAATCAGTCAAAAATTTTTGTAGTAATTCTTTATGTTGACCCAAAAGTTTTTAACAACCGAAAAAGTGACCAAAATATAAATTAAATGAAAAGAATGACGTTTACAGTGTTGGTGTGTACTTTTGGGAGATATCAAGCCTTTTTATATTTCGGATAAGAATACGACATAAGCTTAGCTATCGAAGGACTTTGAGAAAATATCATTCCCCGGCACACATGAAAAGTTTGTAACATTTACACTGGTAAATATATTATGCTTATGAATTTATTTATGAGTAAATAAATTATATTGAATATTTTTATATAATTCCAGCGTGTTGGGATAGTGAGCCGGATAATCGTCCATCAATGAATCAAGTAGTTGATAAATTAAATGCAATTATTACGTAACAGAAATAATCAAACGAATAATTACTTCAACAACGTCGTTTGAATAACCGATGCTGCTTCTAGTACGAATGATTCATTTGGAGAAGTTCTCAAATCGTTCGATTTGATCAGAGAAAAGATCAAGTAAATAAATTTAATTCCGAAACTATTTATCATTTTTGTCGGTCAGATGAACGTAGAAGAAGTTGAGATATCAGATATTGTTTATGATGATACTATTGTTAGTTTAACGATTACGAAATTTAATAAGGATGAAATATTAACGCTTTAGGAGGATTACAAAGATATTGCTTATTGAGACGAATCTAATGATACTAAATTCATGACCCTAGGCGCAAAACTCACGAAATTATGAAAATTTTCAGTTATTTCCGCCACTACTGTAGCTTATCAACTTTACCCAACTCCTTAACGGTACTTTATTGCTCTTGTACTTCAATAACTATTCTGCCAACTTACCCAACTCCTTAATTGCTTTGATACTCCAATAACTATCCTGCCAACTTTATCAAACTCCTTAACGGAACTTGAGTGTGACTATACTCCAATAACTATCCCACCAATTTTACCCAATTCCTTAACGAGTGAGTATTAGACCTGAATCTTTAAAAAACATACCATCTCAATTCAATCCTGCTAAATCGAAAATCTCCTGCACTATTGCTTAAATCTTTGACTTCTTAAAGTTTCTTTTTGAGAATACTAAAATTAATTATATTTTAAAAATTAATATCGATATGGGATGATGATCGTAAAATCAGTTTCTAAAATTATACTACTTTAAAGCTCATTATAAAGGTTTCAAATACATTTTATAATTTAATTTTTATTACTATTTGTATATAAGGATTGATATCGAAAATCTTTAGTCAAAAATGATTTTGATATCATTTCTTTCTAATTAATCAACGACCTTGTGAAATTACTCGCACTTGTCTCTTCTTCTCATTTCCTAAATTTATTTTTTGATAATAATAAATTTCTACCCTCCCTTTTGTCTGGAGAACAAAAAGTGCAATTCGTGATTTAAAGTCTTACAGTTGTATGTATACTTTGAAATTTTATATCCATTGGTGCAGCTGATAATTTTTGCATCTCCATTTGGCATTCTTGCTTGCGCGTCGTTATAATGGTTCTGTGTAAATTACGGTTTAATGCTTGACCTCAAAAACCTCTGTTTAGGTGACGACAGCCGTGAACACTCTAAATCTCCTTTTCGTGATGTGAGCAATGTTTCAAGAATTAATGCCAATAATATAAAATTTCGACCGAAAATAAAAAAAATTTTTAATCATTTTAAATTACGGACATAGTAAATCATATGATCATGTTATTTCAATTTCAATATCAAACCACCAATTTAGAATGTAAAAAAAATATGAATTATAAAAATGAATTTAAACATAAAGCATAAACATAAGCATATGTTATAACCTTATTTAGCAACCGAAAATTGAATTGTTTGTTAGCACAAAAAGCAAAAACATTCTCATATAATGCAACTTTCAACTTGCTGGAAAAATGTCAAACTCGCGTCTGAAAAAGTAGATTAAAACTTATTTATATTTTATTTTTTTTATTTGTAAAAATGATGTTGTCATATGAAATAAAATAATTTCCTAATTATAGTTTCGTTTGGTATTATGAGTGAGCAGCATTTTTGTACTAATCGATAATATCATTGTTCATTTGAATTAAAAAAGCGTTTTAACACATTCTTATACTTTTTTTTTTTTTTTTTTTTTTTTTTTTTTTTTAGATATTTATCAATAAAGCCGCGCCGTTACCGAAAAATATGACACTCACATACGAGCTTAATTTTAATGTCTCCAAAAAAATTGTTACATTTTTAACGCTAATGATTGGCAACGAGTCCGTTATTTAAGGACTTGGCAAAAAAAGCTTTAATGAAAATAATAGCCTTATTAATTTTTCTAATTAAAATCTCTAATATGTAATCGTTATTTATGCAACAAAAAATTTTTCATCAAAAAAATGCTACATGATTAGATTTTTTTGAATTATAGTTTGTTGTATAGTAAACATTTTACTTAACTACGAGTTAAATAAAAAATTTTTCAAGTTAGTTGGTATGACATCCTTATCAGACAAGTTCCCGAATGCCAATTTCCCTGATTCTGATTTCCTAAATGAATAGATATTTCCCGATTCTAATTTCATAAATCCCGAATTCTAACATCCTAAGCACCCAATTTCCCGAATCCTAATATCCCGAATCCCATATCCCGAATGGACATTTTCCCGAATAGACCAAATTTTGGCACTCTGAATGAAATCCGCAATGTACAAATGTTTTCAGAAACCGATAGATCCACTACAATGGTGGAAGGCAATTATATTTTATTAATTATTAATTAAGAAAGATGATTCGGGAATAAATATGGATATTCGGGATGTTGGGATTCGGGAAATTTGTGTTCGGGATGTTAGAATTCGTGAAATTGGATGTTCGGGAAAATGGATATTTCATGCAATTCGGGAAATTGGGTTTCGGGAAGTTGACATTCGAGAAATTGGACTTTTCGATAAAATGTCCAGTTCGGGAAATTTGCGTTCGGGCAAGTGGGCTTCAGGAAAAGGTATATTCGGAAAATTGGCATTCGGACAATCGTGATAACTCTGATTGATATAATTGTGTAACCAATACCACAGTAAAATTGACAATAAATTTCCAAAAAAAAATATTTTTTGAATTTTAAATATTATAATGGTAGAAAATAAGTTTTTATCTAAATTATCACAAAATTTACTTGAATGTTTAGAGGATGACATTACAATCGAAGTTGGAAAGGATCCTTATGTAAAAATATTTCGCGCTCATATGATAATTTTAAACTGTCTTTCTCCTTATTTACAAAGAATATTATCCACTAATAAAAAGAAAAATGATGAAATTTTAGTACATATTAATTTACTAAATATTCTACCTGAAAGTTTTCATGTATTCTTGAGGTATGTTTGCATCTTATTTTTTTATTTTTTTATTTTTATTTTTTTTATAAATAACTTTTATTTTTTTATTCAAGATATATTTATGAAGCAAAACATTCCTTGGAGGAAAGTGAAACTTTGGATATTATCAATATATTGGTTGCTGCCTGTGAATTAAGTCTTCAAGAGTTAGTTTACCATTTACAATCATTTTTGCTTGAAAATAAAGTAAATTGGATGGAAAGAAATTTTAACTTTATATATCAAACAAGTTTTAAAAATGATTCTTTCTTGGACTCCAAAAGAATTGTACAAACTTAATATCAAAAGAGCCAGAGAAAAATATTCAAGTCCGTTGATTTTGCTTCAATCCCAGAAAAGGCTTTGGTTTCTCTTATTCAAAATGATAAACTTTCGATGGATGATGTTCAGATTTGAGAACATGTTCTTAAATGGGGACTTGCCCAAAATTCAGAACTTTCTTCGGATCCTTCAAGCTACACAAAAGATGATTTTAACATTATGAAGAGTACCTTACAACAATGTATTCCATTTATTAGATTCTATAATTTATCTTCTAAAGAATTTTTGAATAAAGTTCTGCCATACAAGAAAGCTTTACCAAAGGAATTATGTAGAGAATTAATTAAATGTTTCTTGTACAATGATTATAAACCTGGCACTCAAATCACCAAGGAAATTAACAGAATTTACCCAGAAAATACTATTCCAAAAATTATTATAAATAAATATGTTGAATTGATTTCGAAAATACAAAATTATTGTGCTATTGGTGTTCTCAAACTTAATATACATAGTGCAAGATGATTAAGTAATATGTATAGTTCATCTAATCGTTATGTTAAATTAGTAACTCATGTAAATCAAAAACTTGCTAAAATTAGAGTTATTGAAGATTCTTTGGATCCTATTTGGAATGAAACGCATTTCTTGATTTTATCAACCTTGAATGAAGTTTTAAGATTGGAATTATGGGAATTTAATGAACTTGGTAATGACAAGCCGCTTGGAATGGCTACTTTGAAATTAAAAATGTTATTAACAAATCCAGTTCAAGAAAATATGTAATATTACTTTATTGTGATAAATTTCCCTTTTATTTGTAATCTTTATTAAACTCAACTTTAATATGAAGTACATCTCCTGTATTGTTTGAGGGTAAATCTCATTGTGAAATAAATTTTGATGCAATCTGGTATCCTGTAGCTGAGATCAAAGATGAAGAGCCATCTCAATCAAGTATATAAGCTTTCACTATGCCAAATTTTGTGATTTCAATAGAATTATACTTATGTAATTTTTTTTAAAAATAATAAAACAGATGGTGTTTTACGCTTCAATATTCATCAAGCCAAAGATCTTGATCCTGGTCGCTTCCTAGTTGCCCAATTCAACCCATAAGAAGAATTACTTTTGAACGGAAAATCTATTTTCAAAACTAAAACATTAAAAAAGACAAATAATCCTGCTTGGGAGGTAAATATTTTAAGGAATTTTATATAGTTTAGAAAATATTTTGTTAATTAATTATCCTCTATGATAGGAACAAGTTGAAATATTCATTATTGAGCTAAGATAACTATAATTATTCGTGATGAGAAAGATTTTCTCATTGATCCAGTTGTTTGCAAATGGGAATCCACTTTGGATCAATTTTTAGAAAATATTAAGGAAAGAGTGGAGTGGTTTAATATAATTGAACCTAAAATTGGTAAATTAAGATTAATTTGCCTATGGAAACCTGTGATAATGGATCATATTCCCGGAAACAATAGATATGGTAATAAAGCTTTATAAAATATAACCTAGTTTATCAAATTTTAAACAAAATGCGTCAACTACAAAAATATTTTTTTTCCCCAATATAGATGAACCATGTGGATTTGGTTCTGGGATAGGAAATGTCATCGCTGGAAGAAGCTCTTTTGTTGGCTGTGGTGAAAATTTAGTTGATTCTGGTCTAAATCTTGTCGGTTCAGGAGCAAATGCATTTGTTTCTGGTGCAGGAAATATTTTTGGTACTGGATTCTGTCTTTTAAAGAAGCCCAAATCGGAAAAGTCTGATCAATCGGACCAATCAGAGAAATCAGATAATTTAGACAAATCAGAAAAAAATGTAACAAGCAGGTTTATTGACAGGTAAGTCTTTGCATGTAAAAAATTATATATATATATATATATATTTTTATTCTATGCTAATATTATAATTTGCATATGAATAGGTTCGAGTCATCCATATGTAAGAGTTAAATTTAACAAAAAGGATATCTTCAAGACAGCAATTATAAAGAAGCGATTGACGCCTACATGGTAGATACATTTATTTTCTTTAACAGCATTTTGAAATTTTCCCATGATTTTAACTTATTTGTGTAATAGGGAAGAAAAATGTACAATAAACATTAATGATCCATCAACTATTATAAATTTGTCAGTAAGGCATCATAAAGCAAAGAGTAAAGACATAGATATTGGATCATACGAGTTTAAAGTGAACGAACATATTCAACCGAGAACTGAAAAAGACTTTTAGGTAAATTTAAAGAATGGTGACCGAGGAAAATTACATATTAGATTGGAATTTAAAGGTAAATAATCAAATGCATCTAGCAGAGGAAGATTTAAAATTTGGTAATTGGGAAAGCAAAAATATATTTTTATATATTTTTATATTATTTAACGCAAATTTGTATTCTAAAAAGCATTGAAGTATAATAAAAAAGAAATTTATTAAATTTATGTGATAACCTTTGACATCTATTACAATTCTAATAAATTCTAGTCATACTGAATTTAATTTTTTTAATTTCTAAATAAAATTATAGAAATTCTAAATTAAAACGAAATCAAATTTTCGTTCTAGGTGAGTAAATATATTTATTTTCATTACAATCTGAATCGTTTACGCCGACTTTGAATGGCTTGTTATTTAAAATTTGACTGGCTAATTGTGTAGTAATTTGTTATTAATATTATTAATAATAATATTTATTATTATTTTGATTAAATTATAAAAGTAGATAAATCTCAAAAATTCCTTCTTTACAACTTTAAAACTTCATATTCAAATATTGAAAGATGATGATTCATGAATAGGACACATATAATCTTTCCTTTGACAAAACCCTTGAAAGACTTTTAAATCACCATGACCAAAACAAATAAAATGGCCATCATCAGAAATAGCGCTTTTTTTTTTTATAACTCTACTTAATGGAAGATCTCTTATCAGAACGAAAAGAAAATATAAAACTATCAGGACTGGTTAAATTTGTTTGAACCAGTCCAATCCAAAGGATTATTAACCAATAATATCTTTCAATCCTGCTATATGAATCACAATAATTGTCGGACCTTGATTAAATACCTTTTCAGAAATTCTTTTATTGTAAGATCTTCTGAATTAGAAAGCCATTGAGAATTTCGAAATAACATCAAATATTTGATTTCATTATCCCAGCATTCTAAAATCAAAAATTTTAATTTTAAAAAATTTAATAATATATTTACCAGTATAAATTGTCATACTCTCCACTTCAGCATAAACGTGAGGACAACAATGGATAGCTCCCATAAGAGCATGGCAACACTGTAAATATACTTTTTCATAAAGTGATGTATTGTCACTTTTCGTCTATTAAAAAACACTTAAGATTAACATAAGGAATTAACTCCGAAAACTTTTGATCTATTAGTTGCTGCTTCAATTCTTTTCAATAATCCAAAATCGGCTAATTAAATAATACTCTGACGATTCCAATAAACAAAAATAAGTAATATGATATGAAAGATTACCAAATCACGAAGCACAATTCCTTCTGAATGTAAACACAACAAAGCGCAAGCGCAAAATTATATTTATTTCCCAAGTTAGCTTATCAAATTTATCTTTCAAAGTGAACCTCCATCAGCATATTCCATTATAACAAATACTTTTTCAATTGAACATTTTGATTTTCTTTTTTTTTTTTTTAAAAAAAAAATAATATATATTATATAAATGAGTAAAAATAAAATATTAAAAAATCGATATATAAAATATATTAATACCTTGACCTTGATTTAAGTTATCCTACAAAAGCGGATTGGATTTGATTTCTTTCTTTAGGAAATTTAGAAGGAAAGTTGTATGAAAGAACGAAAATGAATTCTTAATGGTTTAATAGAAGTAATTATAATTTAAAAATATGAATTTTTTATAACATAGACGGTATGACGGATGAAAGTGGGTCATGTTTATGAATTGAATCTAAGTATAAAACTGTACATTACTAATTAAAAAACTATTTACGATATCTATTTAATTTATTTTATCTCTTTAGAAGATTGTAAAACGTCGCCTGCTTTAAATTCCATGGGATTCACTTAGCGAAATGATTGAGATATGAGAAAAAGAAAGAATCGACGTAATCAGGAAGAAGTTTAGGAAAATTAATGAGATGATGACCCAAACTTACAAGAAATGTATTAGATATAAGACTCAATAGAACTAGTGTTTATAATGGAACTTCACACATCGAATTGGAATATGCCAAAGTAATTTAATTACCGTATTTACTGTATCATAAAATATAAAATGATTTATCCTATTTTTTAATTGTCAGGATAACTTAAAAGATATAAGAAATGGATAGTAATGTCATGCCTTCAACTCGTACAGAACTAGTACCTGGACATTAAAGAAAATAAAAAACAATATAATTTATAATCATGAAGGAATTCAAGACAAAGAAAAAAGAATAATCCATCAAAAAGGGCGAGACATATAAAGATAATCGCTGTGGCCTGAAAAAAAAATATCACAGAAAGATAAAAAATAGCGTTACCTTATACTTTGGGAAGAGTATTGAACCGAGTTTAATTGAGCTAGTCTCGTTCAAATAATTAACTATGATGATAATAGAAAAGGATTGAAATTCTATAAGAATCATTCACATTTCTTTAATACTTGACCGTCAAAGTGTTTTGAGACTTTATCGATAACTTCTTTGCGAATGTCACTTTCGCTCTCAGGAATTCGTCCATTAACTTAACATGAGCTTATTTCTTCATGAACCTTTCTTCTTAATTACTACGGTTTACTCTGATGCACAAGCGCGATATATTATGCGAAAGTATAATTTTAGATTCTATTATTTATTTCATTTGTTATCCTCGATGGGAGATAAGGAAAATTTTGGACCAGAAACCTGGCAGGGAGGCTATTATGAATTTTATATTAACAATTAATTATTCTAATACGAGAATTAAAATAATTACCAAAAAACTTGGGTAGTCTGATGACGCGGAATAATCGATTTGAGAATCGTAAAAAAAAATAGATTTGCTTCGCTTCTTAGAAAATAAAAGGAATTGTTAAATATAATGATTATATAATAATATTCCATAAATGGAAGTTAAATAAATCCGTCATTAAAATAATAAATATATATATATATCACGATATTTACCGCAATCCACAGTAGTAGTATCAGCTTATACTTGTCGTATAATGAAATAATTGAATATTATAAATTGTTCTTTTTTTTTCAATTTAATTACAAATGATATATATAGCATTAAAAAAAATTTAAGAAATCTATGATTAAAAATTATTTTTACTTGAAATATAAGGTGTGATAATTTTAATCATAGATTTCTTATCTTTTTTAATTCTATTATTATTATATAGTCATTAACAAGAAGTAAACTTTAAAGGAATATAATAATTATCGTTATGTAGTACAAAAAAATTTGTTTGTAATCATGACGTAGAGATCTGCAAAACTCGATTTGTTTATTTACTTACAAAAAAAAAAAAAAAAAAAAAAAATCATTCTCATTTCCTTGAGAAATATTCCTTCTAAAAAAAAATATGAACAACAAATAATATGTTATCACAATTCCTTTTACTTACAAAATAATGCTTCAAGTCTTCGATGATTTTGTAATTCGTGCCATATCTTTTCTTCCAGACTGACACACCATCTCGTTTACTCTTGATCACTGTTGTCAGGCAGTAAAGGCTTACAAATGGTTTCGGCCGTTATAACGCTTGGGCTTCAATTTGTAAGTGCAAAATAGTCTTTAAATTTGAAGGTTGGGAACGTCCTTTAGCAACTCCTCATACTGAAGTATATCAAATTATAAAAAATGGAAAAATACAGTAAAATCACATTAATTTTGTGACTCGGCAACAAGTTAGCGCGTCTATTCTTTCTTGAACGATACAAATATTCGAAAGGTAAATTTCAACCTTACAAATTTTAACTTCTTTTTAAATTTTTAAAAATTTTTTATTTAACTATTTTTAAAATTTTTACAGATTTTTTTAAACTATTTAAATTTTTTTCAAATTTTTTTATACATATTACAAACATGTCCGCCGTCAACGCTCACTCTGTTTCGGTCGAAAGAAGCCCATGTAAAGTATATTTTGAATTTGTTCCTTATGAAAAGTGGTCATTTCATAGTTATATAACTTTATTAGTTGATAACTATGAAAACGTTGATAAAATGGATGCTCACTTTTCCTTCTATAGAATGTTAAGTTTAATTAATGACGATGAAAAAATGTCTCAAGAAGTCCGTGATGTCGCCCAGAGACTCTTGATAAGCAAAAAAGTAAGTAAAATATGCATATGATTATAGTCAGATGATCCAGCCATTCATCTTAATTTTTTTTTTATCTGATTATTCTTTTGTGAAATATTTTCTTATTCAATTTTCTTTTATATAGACCAATGTTCTTAAAGCTAATAATAGCTTCTGGAACACTTCATCACCAACAACGTCATCATCTCATAAAGGAATAAAGAGAAAGTGCCTACTAAAGATGGTAATGGGTGGTCAGCGATCGGTCAAAAACCTTAACTGATCGACTGAACGGTTGATTGACCGGTTAATATTATAGCTGATCTATGCAGCTTTTTATTTTAAATATCGAGATTGTTGCTTTAACTGGGAAATCAATGATCATTTAGCAAAAGATTGCGAGAAAACAACCACCATAGTAGAATTAAAAAATTTTTTTTTAATACTAGGGAGATTTTCGGTGGAAACTCTTTTTTTTATTGTATTTTTCAATTTACTTTGTTTTTTTATGATTTCATAGCAAAGTTTAACAATAAAGGATAATTTTTTTTGTTCTTTTTTTGGTTGTAATATGATTTTTGTAATTCTTTTTTTTTTTTAATTATAAAATCAGTTCGGGTTGCCTTTTTTTTTTGTTATTTATTTATTTTGAACGCTAAACTCATTTTTCTTTTTTTCAGTTAACGTTACTAAGATAAATTTATTGGAAGATAATTTTTTTTCAGGTCATGATTTGGTATGATTTTCTTTTTCGATTGTGCTACTGAGTAAGGCTTATATGTTATGTTTATTGATTTTTTAGATTTCTTTTTTATGATAGCGGACCTGGTACAATAAGACTTTTTCTTATCCTAATTTTAATTTTATATTTTTCTTTAATTACTAAAAAGACGATTTAATGTGCAGTAACTCTAACAGAAATTATACTAAATTCAGAAAAAACCAAATTTCCATTCCATTTTTGAAATGCGAAATAAAATTTTTTGAAGTATAGTACGTATCTATTTTACACTCTTCGTTATATGTTCCTGCTATAGTAGACATCTGATCTCATTTTGTAAATCTGATTTTTATAATTAAGTCTTGAAAAATAATAAATAATTCAAATTATTATTTGTTCAATTACATAATATTAAATAATTAATTATAAAATAAAGTTACGTAAGTAGACAAAAAAAAATTTATTCATCCGCAAAAGCCAAATGCGTTAATATTGATATATGGGAGGTTTGCTATTAAAAAACGAGTTACGAACAAAGTAAATTATATGATCCGTAATAGCTTATCTCCCATATGTGGGATTGGAATCGATTCTATCAACCTACTATAAATCAATCGATGGACACAATGGAAATAATCAAATAATCGAACAGATTTAATAGGCAATAGGCAAAAATAAAAAGGAATGATTAAAATAAAATAAAAAACTAATTAAAAAATAAAAAAAAATAAAAAGATCCTAAACATTTAATTCCAATGTGATCGCATCTAAAAGGTGAGGAACCTAAAAACAAAAAATAAAATAAATAAAAAAACCCCGAAATAAATTAAAAAAGATCATCCGATCGTTGCAGCCGAATCTTAGAATCAAAACTCGAGAAAAGATTAATCGCTTCTAAAATGAATATTTTTTTAGGTCAAATCCAATCCTCAGATATATCACTTATAGAGAGTTATTTTCCACTTTTCCATATAAACTTCTTATTAATTGAAATTATGCGCTTCATTTTGATTGAGTATATATGACAGAAAGACTATTGTTAAATAGGTTAATTTTCTATGAAAATTACATTGCTGAAATATCACCGACGGTTTTCATAAAATTGCTGAGTTTTTTTGATTAGCGTCAACGGAGAGCATATTTAACATACAGAAACATTTAAAAAAAAAAATGATAAATTACGAAAAGCAAATCAATCTATACCGTATTTGCTACTTCCAAATTTTCCCACTTCATTGTTGACTAATAAAATCAAGAATATTAAACATTAATAAAGTCATTTTTTTTTTTTTTTTAGTCTTGTCAATATGAGTTGTAATTTATCGTGAGAAATAGGGAGGAAGGAAGAAACCTAGAATCGGGACACGGAAAAGTTCATTTCCAAGTATTTCCTCATCTTTTTAAATTTTAGAAAAAGAAGTGGAATAGGAATTAGTTATGGAATCTAAGTCAAATAGTCTTGTGGAAAGGTAATAAATGCTACAGATATCAATATCAGTTACGTTTAGGAAGGAGAAATTTTTTCATAATGAGGATATTCGTCTATATTCCACGGAATGACGAAAGAAAAACTTTTGTCGATAATGATGGAAACTACATAAAATAACAAATAAAAAAAAGAATAAAGAGCGAGCTTACCAACAGATTAAGAATTGAAATCAGAAATCAGAAGCAAAGTTATTAGAAGACAGTCACTCGCTGAAAGAAAAAAAAGCCGTGCCAGATTTATTAAAAGATTGGAGCGGTTCATTATGAGTATTATTTGATTTTATTAAGGGCTACGAAAAGAAAACGAATTTTTAAAGGAAAAACTTTTCAACATATTGAGCGCGTGAATATTTTTTTTCTTATGTCCCTTATTATATATTTATTTTTAGATTTATCTCGGGGAACAAAAATTTTTTAAGAACTCCACTTTTTTACCCATATACAGTAAAAATGTGGTTGGCATTTCCAAATTATCGGCTGTACCGTGACTTATTAATATTATCTACTTCACATTGAAGATTAAGATTTTTAAACATTAACATTATACTATATAAATGAGTTTATACCAAACAGACCGAAATATAAATTTTATATTTGTAATTATCTCACGAACAAATTCTTTAACTATAGTTATGAAACGATTTTAACGCTGGATGTTGCGTAGTACTTCTCCATTTTACACGATGAACTTTTCCGAAGCTTCCAACACCGATATTGAACATCGCTAAAATATTTGTAGTGTATACTTTTTGAAATTAATTCTTCAGTTTAAATTATTTTCAGCTTACATTTTGTTTTTTCAATGTTTTATGTAACAGATGACAAGAAAATAAATGAAATGCGCTTGGTAAATCATGTAAAATTAAATCAAATTTCTAAAGAGAATTCATAAATTTTTTCAAATGGTACGTGTACACATGAAAAGATATATTCAGAAAATTTTAGTTCTAAATGTTTGACATTTCGAATATAAAATACTTTCTTTTGATCATATTGGAATAAATTATGCGTGAATTGTGTCATTACTTTAACAAAGAAGCTTAATACAATCACTTTAGAAAATAAGAAAGCATCTGATTTTATAGTAAGAGAATCGAAAAGTTAGCGATAATAATAAAAAATTTTTTGATTTAAACTTGAATCTTTGTGGCGCAGCATCGAAAGCAATATACAGTATGGATGGATGGTTATATCATAAACTCAAGAATCCAGATGGGTGGACCCGGCCTAAAAATATTTATCGGCTAATTTACCTTTTGAATTAACCGATTCCAACTTCTAGTTTTGACGCTACATTTAGGTTTTTATGTTCCCAATGTCAAATTCAAGTTAATTATTAAAATAATGATAGTAAATAAAAGTGATTAATTTATTCGGTTAATAAAACTATATGTTTTTTTATTTAAACTACTACATATATTTTTTAATAATTCGTAAATATTCCGGTTGTTAAAAATTGATATTCCTACGATAATAATTATTTCTATAAATCTTAAAAAAACAATATACTTCTTTTTTTATAGACCATTCATTAATGATTCATTAGTTAATTGTTTTTCACTTGAGAAAATTGAAAACTATTACATATTTTTTCAAAATCGAGAAGTTTAAGAATAGATTTATGTATATAATATATTGCAATATGCTTACTTTTACGATTCAACATTTGCTTTGAACTTAAATTCCGACACAAAGGAAATGTATATGGTTTGCTATTAAAATCACATTACGGATCATATGATTTTCTATGTCGTAACTCGATTTTAATAGCATACCTCCCATATGTTCCTTGCGATAATTACTTCTCTCTTTCCACAAACAACTACGCTCTTAATAATAATTTCCTCACTCAGGTTTTTATGATTCTTCCCGTATTCTGTGCAAATTGTGAGTCAAAGTTCCGCATATGTACCCTTCACAATTGCTTACATTTTTTTGCAAGGTCGAAATGCTTGCCTTCAAAATATTGTGATTATAATTCTTGACTACATTTATTCGCATGCGAGAAATTCGGTCATAATGATTGAACTAATAATATTAATGCGCTTGGCTATATAAAATTTATTCGCATGCTCTTGTATTTCTGATTTTCGGCCGGAGTTAAATTCATCTATTTTAACCGGTAATTAACCGGTTAAAATTTTATTTATTTTTTTTTAAAAAAAAAAAATTGTTTCACAAAGGATGCTGATCAAAACAGATTAACATATTTTATTACTATATATACGCATTTTTCCCATCCCATTCAATGCTGTTTATTTCTTTATTAACCCCAATTAATGGGTCAAGAGCATAAATTTCCCTTCAAAAACTTAAAGGAATTATTTTTATTTCATCATCGAAAAATACTGATTTTTTTTTTTTTGCTTTAAAAAAAAAATACATATAATATAGATATGTTAAGTATCAAACTTTTCTGTCTTGTTCTAGGTGACCCTATTGAACATGCCTTTGCAGTCGAGATTAGTAAAGATGAGACAATTAGCGAGCTTAAAGAGATTATCAAAATGAAAAAAAAGAATGCATTCACTAATATAGATGCCAATGAACTTATCCTCTGGAAAGTGAATGTTTCTCTTGATAAATTGAACGATACTATCTTCAAAGATGACACTGATATCAAAGAAGTTCTGAATGGAGAAAAGTTGCTTCCAATGTACAAAATTGGAAAAGCGTTCTCTAATGAGCCTGTTGATGAACACGTTCATTTAATTATTCAGCATAAGGTAAATATTAGCATACAATATGCTTGCAATATTGTACTTACCATCTCGCGTTTACTAGAAACTGACTTCATATCAATTATTTTTTAGTATTCTGTGCCATCAACCTCTATTGTTGAGAGGATTAATGAACTTGAGAAAACGTTAAAATTAATGCGGTCCAGGTTAGAGGAATAATATTATATTATGATTTTATCATTCCTTATCTCACAATTTCGTTCAAAATAATACAGCTTGGTTGTCGATAATCTCCAAGCTGATATGATTAGTACCAAATTCATCAGGATTTCCGATTCAGAGCAAGTTGAACGCTGGCAAATAGCATATGAGAGTTCGGCGGCTTTGTGCTTTCGTGACCGTTATGGTGAAGGTGATAAAAGATATGCCATGTTTAACAATCGATCTGTAAACATCTAATGAAATAATGCTTTCAAATTTTTTTTTTCTTTTTTTTTAATGTTCGCAACACATTATGATTTGTTTAAGAAAAATAAAATTATAAGTTTAAATCGTATCGGGAGAAATTTTGTTAGCTGAAGTAATTATAAAATTAATGAAGTTGCAATCATGTATGTTATGTATGATTTGTATGACAAATATTTCCATACATGTATGGATTTTCTAATATTTCGTCGCAGTTATTTTATTACCATAATTTGGATTTTACAAATATAGCTTTTGCATCAAAAATAAATCAACGTACAAATTTTGTCTATTAAAAAGGAATTAACCAAATAATAAAGTTTTTAAATTTTTTAATTCGATTAATTTAAATTCTTCTATTTGATAAATGCAAAAATTTTAATTACTTTTTACTTTTTTATTGCATTAATAAATTAAGTTACTATTTATAAATTTTCTTAAACTATACACCTGAGTTTACTCATTATAATATAATGAAACAACTACCAACACGACTTATTGTTTTTCTTTGTGTGTTTAATTATTGACATTCTGTTCAAACAAATCCGATCATTTTTTAAGATATTGAAACTGTATCTGACGGTTAATTTAATCTAATTAAATATATAAATATTCAATACCATTATTAAAATTATTATTTTGATATATTCGTTATTTTTTATTATATTTGATATATTTGATATATTTATTATAAATTAATATTTAGAAATTTTGTATATAAACCCCGAAAATCCTCTTTGTTGAAAGAATAAGGTTGACGAGTTTTGAGAAGAGACGTCCGAAATCTTGAGTTAATAAAGTTCCACGTTACACTTTCAAACTTTATCGTGTCTCCATATAGAACTAAACTAAACAAAGAATCGTATAAAGTATATAGTTGTATAAATCTTTCTTAGGACGGGGCTTAGTTAGATTTAATCAGTGTTTGGTTAAGCTGATTTCGGTTTAAAATCGGGTTAACGTTATTGAAAATTGTTCGGAGATAAATTCTAAATTGTGAATTAATTTGGAACTTTACTATAAATTTCAAGAAGGCCATATCGAACAGCATAGCAGAAAGCAAGAAATCTATCAATTGACTATACCTTTTTGTCACCCAATACCGGAGCAAACACCTATAACCTTTAAATTAAATTAATGCAGAGCTCGTAGCTATAATTTATACTGGAAAAATTATACTTCTCTTTGAACAAATAACGGAAAAGCTCAATAATTTAGCCCCTATCAAACAATTACGGTTCGACGTTAAAAATTAATATATAGCACTCGAATCCTTGGATCAAATTCTGACCACATCACCCTTAGGATAATTGAATCTGCCCAAGATTCTAATAACTTTAAAAGTTCAGTAAAAATCCCGTTCTATTCAATTGTACCTTTGAAAATAAATCCGATTCTAACGCCTATAAACAACATGACAGGCGACAATAGAAGACCAACGATAACGCTACAACCTCTAGAGGAGGAAGAAGAAACCTTTGGAGAAATAGAACAAGAAGGACAAGGAAGTAGACAAAGAGAATATCAAAGAGAATATCAAAGAACAAACGAAACATTGAATACTGGACGATTATACAGTAAATGCGATCCTCGTTCAATACAATCGCACAAGAATTAAGAAACTCAAGGCCAGTATAATTACCTAGAGAATCGAACATAGTAACCATACAACCATTTGGGGAAATGACAGTGAAGACCCAGAAGAATGAACATTTCGAAACATCAGCAATGTTAATGAGTATTGAGGTATTAGAATCATGAAGGTAATAGAGATACAAGCTTTGTAGCTTTATGTCGACGACATTTTGCAACTACAGCACAAAAGAATAATGGCATCATGTGCTATCTAATATTATACAACTATCAAACGAGAAAGTATATACTTAAAGTGCCAGTTTGCTAACCTTAAGAGAATTGTGGATCCAAAAAATGCCTTACCAGACGATTATCAAATTAGATTATTTTTGAATGGGTTAAAACCGAGTCTTGCCGCGAAAATAGCGAAAGACCCGAATTATTTGGATACTGCAATCAGGGTAGCAAGAACCGCAGAAGTGGGTTCATATTGTATAAGATAACCTTCTCAACTATCTAGTAATGATGCAATTAAAGCTTTACAAATGGAGCAACTTACCTTAAATTATGCAAAAATTGTAAATGTTTTAGCAGTTCAAACAGGAATTTCAAACCTAAAGCCGCTCCCATCATAAATATATCTGTAACATAAATATTTGCGGTTAAAATTAATTTAATAATAAACAAATCAATTAAAAAAAAGTAATTTACTTTAAAATATTTAGAAAAATTTTTAGCAAAATATTTGGCAACTTGATGTGATATAAGACATTATTATTGTTATTTTATTAATATATTCATGAGCACGGAAATATTTTTATGTTTTGAATTTCCCCAACTTCAATTGTTATATCATAATACTCATTATCTTCCAACATTTCAATATAATTTTGGCTTAATTTCAAAAAAAAACTGTGATGTCAACTTTTTTTTAAAAAAAAAAAATTTGCATAATTTTGATCATTAATCAATTTTTTTTTTAAAAATATTCAGACGTAACTATTTCTCTAATATACTGCTAGTCGTCAACTGACAAATAAAGTTGGTTGCTTTTAATAATAGATGAATATTACTTTTAAAACTAAATGAATAAATTTACTTAATTCACTATTTATAATCTCATCAATGATACGAGTAGGGATTGAATCTATTCAAAAAAAGTTAAATCGATTTTAGAATAGATTAATCGCGATTAATCGATCCACAACGATTTTTTTAATGTCAAGTTTTTTTGATTATTTCGATTTTTAGTTTTAGGTTCAACCAATTCGCGGCGGAGCGATTAAATAAAATCTTGAGCCTCTTATCTATTTGGATTTGTTGTATTGTTGTACCCCAAATGTATTAATGTCTGAAATGCGCATTTAGGATATCCCGAATCGGAATGCGCAATTGAGATATCCCAAACGCGAAGATATTCGCTTGCCCCAAATGCGCATTTATCCCAAATGATCATTTCGGATATCCAAAAGCCAATGTAAAGTTTGTTTACATTTTTATTTACAATTTAAATAAAATAAAGTTTTATAAATAATTTAAATTTGCCATTAATTTATTTTAAATAAAATATATAAAATACAAGTCTGCCATTTAATAAACTCAAATCATTAGTGGTCATTTAGGACAGTCCGAAATGGTCTTTTGGAATATCCAAAATGCTCATTTGGGATATCCGAAATGAGCATTTGGGACATTATCTGAAATGTTAATTTGGGACATTGTCCGAAACATGCATTTGGGATATTATCCGAATTGTTCATTTGGAAAATTGTCCGAAATGCGCATTTGGGATATCCGAAATGTGCATTTTATGCAAGCGAATATCCCGAACGATCTTCACATTTGGGATATCCCAATTGCGCATTCTTATTAGGGATATCCCAAATGCTTATTTCGGACATCAACGCATTTGAGGTACAACAGATTCATAAAAAATTATTTTTTTTGATTAACTCATATTTTTTAATTGAATGATCACGTGAAATCACTTTTAGCCAATAAAACTGACAAATTTCGATGCGCCCCTAATTTTGTTTACAAAGTTCTCATTGTCGAAACTTCAAATTTTTTTTAACGTTAAAAAATTGTCGAATAAAAAATATATTGAATGGTTAGAAAAATCTATTGCTAATAAATATGTCAACCATTTTGAATACTCTGAATTTCAAGATTTTCAACTAATAGGAAATGGTTCATTAGGAGAAGTTATGCACGCTTATTGGAAAAATAGGGGCTGTTATGTTGCTTTGAAATCTTTTAATAATAATAAAACGACACTGAAGAATATTGTAAAAGAAGCACAAATATATATTAGGTAAAATTTGTTCTAAATGCCATGTAGATAAAATTACATATGGAAGTCGATTTTCATTCAAATATTATATGAATTTTTGGAATCACAAGCGAAGAAACCTTTAAAATGAAAAAAAATTTCAAAAAATAGAATTTAAAATTAAGAGGATCAACATTATATTTCTAAACTTGATTTAATTTTATTAATTGAATAATTAATTAAATTTATATTATTTGTTTCTTATACCTAATTAAGTTGTTTTCTAAAAAAAGGATCAACTAATTAAAAATTTAATTACTAATATATGTCATAGCGGATAAAAGTTTAGCCAAAATTACTATGACGAATTTCGATGCGCACCCAATTAAACTTAAATTCTCCTTGTCCAAAATTATAATTGAAATTTTTTTTTAACATAAAAAAAATGTCGAATAAAAAATATATTGAATGGTTAGAAAAAGCTATTGCTAATAAATATATCAACCATTTTGAATACTCGGAATTTCAAGATTTTCAACTAATAGGAAATGGTGCATTTGGAGAAGTTATGCAAGCTTATTGGAAAAATAAGGGCTGTTATGTAGCTTTAAAATCTTTTAATAATAACAAAACGACTCTGAGGAATATTGCAAAAGAGGTAAATAAATATTATTATTTAAATAAGATTTATAAATTAGGTAAATTTGTTCTAAATGTCATATAGATAAAATTACATAAAGAAGTCGATTTTCATTCAAATATTATACGAATTTTTGGAATTACAAGCGAAGTTACCGGTAAGTTTTAGCAAGATGATGTAAAAATCTTTAAACATTTATTAATACTCTTAAATTATAAGCAAATGCAATGAAAAGACACTCTTTAGTCTTGGAATATGCCGACAGTGGCACTTTATATTCATATTTAAAAGAGCATTTCAAAGAAATTGATTGGTGTGACAAATTTCAGCTAGCTTTTCAACTGTCGAGTGCTGTAGAATTTATGCATTATCATGATATTGTCCATCGTGATTTGGTAAATAATCAACTTTTGTAAATTATTGTTTGTCTTATTTATAGTTCTTTTATTAATTAATATTTGATGTAAATTAGCATGAAAGTAACATACTCGTACATCAAAGATCAATCAAATTAGCAGACTTTGGTTTATCAAGAAACATCGCAGACACGTCAAGTAACGAGTCAAAGTTCATGGGAGTATTGCCCTATATGGATCCAAAAAGTTTAAATTATCGAGAAAATAAGAAATACAAATTAAATAAAAAGTCCGATGTCTATAGTATCGGAGTTTTGATGTGGCTTATTTCAAGTGGAAAAAAACCATTTTATGATGAAGATGATGCAAGAATATTAAACTTAAGAATAATCAATGGAGAAAGAGAAACAAAAATTAAAGGTACTCCTATTGAATATAGTAATCTATATGAACGTAAGTATGTTTATAATGTTAATATTTTTTTTTAGTTTTAAAAAAAGAAATAATTCTAATCTCAGTTTATTCAATCAGGATGTTGGAAATACGAACCCGATGAACGTCCAAGTATACAGGATGTTGTTTCAACACTTAAAAAGGTTATTTCAAAACAAAGTGAGATGGAAGATTTGCAGAATCAAAATCCTGCTCATTCGGATTCAATAGATCCTTTAAATAATTCAAATAATTCCTCAAGTCAAATTATAAATTGGAATCAAATAAATCAAAATTCTGGAGAAATTAATCAAATGAATAATTATGCATCAAATAATTCTGAAATTATTCATCATTTGGATGGTCAAGAAAATATAGAAGAATTAGAATCAAATATTAAAGTATCAGACATTATTTATGATGATATTATTGAAAGTTTAACGATTACAGAATATAATAAGGATGACATATTAAACACCTTAGGAGGATTGCAAAGATATCGGAAATTAAAAGTACTCGATTGTGACAATACTCAGATAACCGGCTTACCAACTTTACCCAACACCTTAACTAAACTCAGTTGTAATATGACTAAAATAACTACCCTACCAACATTACCAAACTCATTAACGGTACTCAGGTGTTATCTAACTAAATTAAATAGCTTACCAACTTTACCAAACTCCTTAACTTATCTTAATTGCTCTGATACTCCAATAACTATCCTACCTACTTTATCCGACTCCTTAACAGTGCTCTGGTGTTCTAGCACTAAAATAAATATCTTACCAATTTTACCTAACTCCTTAACGGAACTTAATTGCTCTTTAACTCCCATAACTATCCCACCAATTTTACCCAATTCCTTAATGGTATTCAAGTGTTATAGCACTAAAATAAATAGCTTACCAATCTTACCCAACTCCTTAACGGTACTCAAGTGTTATAGCACTAAAGTAAATAGCTTACCAACTTTACCCAATTCCTTAACGGACCTTGATTGCTCTAACACTCCAATAACTATTCTACCAACTTTACCCAACTCCTTAAATTATCTTGACTGTTCTGATACTCCAATAACTATCCTACCAACATTACCCAGCTCCTTAACGGTACTCAAGTGTTATGGCACTAAAATAAATAGCTTACCAACTTTACCCAACACCTTAACTAAACTCAGTTGTAATATGACTAAAATAACTACCCTACCAACATTACCCAACATCTTAACGAAACTTTATTGTTATAGCACTAAAATAAATAGCTTTCCAACTTTACCTAACTCCTTAATTTTTCTTAAGTGCTCTAACACTCCAATAACTATTCTACCAACTTTACCCAACTCCTTAAATTATCTTGATTGTTCTGATACTCCAATAACTATCCCACCAAATTTACCTAACTTCTTAACGGTACTCAAGTGTTATAGCACTAAAATAAATAGCTTACCAACATTACCCAACTCCTTAACGAATCTTAATTGTTCTGATACTCCAATTACTATTCTACCAACATTACCCAGCTCCTTAACAAAGCTTATTTGCTATGATACTCATTTAAATAGCTTACCTACCTTACCCAACTCCTTAACGAAGCTTAATTGCTCTAATACTCCAATATCTATCTTACCAACATTACCCAACTCCTTAACGGTACTTAATGTATCTTATACTCCAATATCTATACTACCAACTTTACCCAATTCCTTAACGGTACTTAATTGCTCTTATACTCCAATAACTATCCTACCAACATTACCCAACTCCTTAATGGAACTTGACTGTACAAATACTTCAATAACAAGCTTACCTAATTTACCCGATTCCTTAATGAGTATCCAACCTGTATTTTTAAAAACTAAACGCCTCAATAATTATCTTGCTAAATTGAATAGCTCCTGTACTATTGCCTAAATCTTTAAACTTTTCTTGAAGTTCAAGTTTCTTTTGAAGAGGAAGGATATGATAAGCTTCCACGTTTTTTAAAACTTTGATATATTAATTTATTGTATCCTAGTATCGACGTCAAAGTTTTAATCATAATTAAATCTTTAAAATAATAGGACCATCTTATTGATTTAATAACTCTATTTTAATAGCACCTTCGATCCATTCTTTTGCTTTATCTTCTAACACATCAACAGATTCAGCAATAAGTTGATTAATATACTTTGGAATCAAACTTTGAGAAAATCTATTTTGATGGTAGTTGGAAACTAATTTATCAAGCTCGAAGGGTACGGTCTGAAGATTTGAACGTTCTTTTGGATTATGATGCCAAACTAAAAGAAACATTGTAATTAATCAAATTTTTTAATAAAATTATTATGCTATTTAATAAAAATAATATTTACTATTTTTAATCATTTTAAAATAACTTTCCTGAAGTTTTTCGTCATTATTTTATTTAATGTTTAAGTTTTCTCTATGATTATTTAAAACGTGATTTTTATCATTCGTACGTCCCATCCTTGTAAGGAATGGTTTCGAAAGCAAGCTCCCATAATAACTCTAAATTAAAAAATTTTTGATATTATTAGTTTCATAATGAAATAATAAATGAAAAATTTCTTGTAAATACCTAAACATTTCACATTCTTCATTATATCGGCAATTTAGAATTTTTCAAGGGCCATCCAATTAATAATATCAACTACATTTGGTATATATTCATAATATTCATTATTTATTTTATTTTTATCGATCGCATATCTAAGATTTGTACAGGAATTCAAGTAAGAAATACCACGACAGATACATAATCAATAGACAGACACCTTTGAGAATAAATAAAAGTTTTTCTATTTTTTCTTTTTTTTAGAGTGTTATTAATTCTTTTTCATTTTTACCTTTGCGTTCAAAAAATGGAGGCGACAAATTGTTGTAATTGAACGTCCCGAACGTCGGAGGCGTCAATTTTTGCAAAAAATGCAAGAATTTGAACGTCCCGAACGTCGGAAACGTCAATTTTTGTAAAACGCAAGAATTTGAACATCCCGAACGTCGAAGGCGTCAATTTTTTGCAAATTGCATGAACTTTATATAAAAATAATAACTTTTGCTGGCTAAAACTTAAAATAAAATTTTGCCATTTTGGCCGAGGCCAACCGGCCAGATGTCAACACTGCGTTAATGTATGATACTTCACTAACGTTATCGAATATAATTAACTACCAATGTTGAGTTGTCATCGATATCAAAATATAATTGTTTTATCAGAATTAAGAATTAGGAATTCTTCTCGGATGGTCATTTATCTTCTAGTATAGGTGAATTAGTGTTTAAATTTGATTTCCTTTTGATACAAATGGTCACCTGAAAATATGGAGCTACAAAATGTCGTTGAAAATTTACTTTCGAAATTTTAATAATTCATTCGTAAATTATTAAATAATAAAATATCTTAAGCTGTATCCTTGTCAAAATTAATTTCCGAAAAAATGAATTACCTTGCAAAAAGCGTTGAAAAAAATAAAAGCTTCCATTTTTTAGACGAAGTCGATAATAATTTGATAAAGGTAATAAGACATTATGAAATGAAGTATTTCCGACTAACGTCTAATATTACAAACTTTATAGGAATTAAGAACTAACAAACGTCTTTAGGTGATAAATTAAATTATGACGGTTTTTTAAGAAATTATCAAAAAGTAGCTAGTGATTTAAAAAAAATTCAAGTTCGTGTAATTATAGATCATTAAAAATCGACTACACCGACTACACCACTACTTAGTTTTAGAAATTACACAATACAGATTATGGAATGGTAACAACTATAACTATCAACGGATTTTCTGTATCACAACAGAAATTCAATAAATTCATATATCAAATAATAAGCCACACATTTTCGCGACTTTCGCGTTTTCACTTTAGCATGCATAATACAAGTACAAGACAAAAGTCTATTAGTAAATATAATAATTATATAGTTGGTACTTGTTAGAGTGCCAAATATGTTTGCACTGTAAGAAAACAGTAAGTCTTTGTAATTAAACTGTTAAACCTGAAATTTATGACATAAACAAAAAAGAATCGCTTATTCTCGTGAATTCTCATCAGATATTATTTGTATGAAAAAATCAATATTTCAATTATGACAATGACTTTTTATCTACATTATCTGTTTACTTTTGTACTAATGCTATAGTCAATTATGTAGAATATCAAAAATACCTATACAAACTTCAAAAGCATCATCAATTTCATTATCTCCTTCAAAAAAATTATCATCATCTTCTATTGAAGAATCATCACTTTCTAAAGCAACTTCACCAATTACATTATCACCATTAAAATTATTACCAACACCACCAATAACAGATGTATCATCTTTGCAAAATTCACCAAATCTTATACTAATATCTAATAATAAATACATACATTTATAATTTAAAGTTTAAACTTTCTATTAAGAAAGCTGTAATTCACTTCTTCCACAAATGTGAATAAATTCAAATTAACTTCATACTTTGATTTTACTTATAATATTAAAAAAAGGTAAAGAAAATGTTTAATCTTACAAAACTAAATAAAGATGATTATAACCTTTCATATTAAACTTTAAATATAAAATGACTTAATATAATATTATTTAATGAATATTGAAAGAAATTTTATTTAATACTAAACAGATAATTAAAACTAATTAAGTATTATAAGTAAATATATTAATGATTGAAAAAAGAAGTAGTAAAAATAAAAAAAAAGAAGAAAAAAAATAAAAGTATGTAATTTATAGTTATTTATAGTTGTTTATATAAAAGTTTTAATAAATATAATATATTATTTTGTAGTAATAAGAAATTTTATTTAGAGAAAATAAAGTACCAAATACAAAAATATCTAAGATACATAAGAAAAATTAGCTTAGTGAATTAAAAAGAAGAAGAGTTGAAGTAATAAAGAAAATTAGAGAAAAATATCATTATAATTAATATTAATATATCATAATCAATTGAGTATTACATAGTTAATAATGTAAAGTAATGATATTATAAGTAATATAAGTAATATAAGTAATAATCAAATTTAAATTAAATATAAAATCAAATTTTAATTTATTATATACTTTATAAATTACTAGTATTACTATAATTAAACTTGTATTTATATTACTATTATTTATTACTAAAAGTCAAAATCATAATGCAACTACTTCTGCAGAAATTAAATTACCTCAATATTCTTTTTCAATATTCTTATCCTTTAGATACCCTTATATGTATTATAATTATACTTATCAAATACTCTTATCATATCAAATAATAGATACAATTTCTATTATTATAATCATTACTATTATTACCAATTTAATTATCTTCTTCTACTTTTTTATATACAGATTATCATTATAAGTCTTTACAATATAATATTGATCAAATATTATCTTTACTATTTATTAAATCTTTTTAAATAATTTAAATCATATTATAGAAAAAGAAGTTTCATGAAATATTTTGAAAAATTTATAAAAAAAAAATATTACTAGTGTAATTAAAAATAATGATTTAATTAGTTTAGAAATTAATATTATTAGAGAGAGAAAAATATTAATTTAAGGATTCAAATATTATATAAAAACAATAATAGTAATAATATAAAGTAATAAATAATATAATAAATAATATGATAATAAATTAATAATTACTTTGATAAAGTTTCTTTTATTATTTAATAAAATTTGCAATAAATTATAAATAAATTAGTTTTCAAATAAAATGATTTTACTATTTGTAAAGTTATTCTGTATAAATAAATAAAATATATATTTTAGTTGATAAAAAAAAATATTAATTAATATAAAAAGATAAGTAAAAGAAAATTGTATTTATATTTCTATAATCATTGCCTTATAATATATAAAAATGAAAAGATTTTTAAAAAATCTTGATATTATTTTTAAGAAAATATTATTACAATTTATCGTTATTGTATTTATTATACTATTTTAGTATTTGTTATACTATTTCTATATTTTATTATTTTATTATAATATTTTAATAAATAAAAGTTCTTTATATATCAAAAAATATTTGTATTTTTTTTTATAAAATTTTATATTTCTAGTCTAGCCTTAAAAAATTAAAATCAGTTTATATAATATAAATAATTAGATATTATAAACAAAGGATCTATAAAATATAACTGATCAGATGAAATTATCTAAATTAAATTAAAAAACGTTTTAGATTAAAATAAATAAGAAAAAAATAATAATAAAAATTAGTAATTTGTAATACAAAAAAAGAGATAATAAAAAAAGAAAAATAAATTCACCTTCACTGTGACAGAATAATCAAACTAGATAAAATCATTCAGATTAGACTAATAATCTACTTTAGATAAAATTATAAAAATAAAGGTTTAGTAATTTAATACAATGTAAATAAAAAGAAAAAAAAAAACTAACAAACTTACCTTTATTATGATTAACTAATCAATCTATTACATTTGTGAGTAATAATTCTTTTTTTGCATTATTTTAGATTACTAATTACTAATTCTTTTTTTTTATATTTTATTATTTTTTATTTATTTTATTTATTTATTTATTTTTTATAAGTGATTTTTTCTCTAAAATGATAAATTAAAAAAAAAAATAAAAAAAGTATCATAAACTAAATTACTTATAAAATTATTTTTGTTAAAATATAAAAAAACAAGTAGATAATGAAGTTATATACAGTAAAAAACAAATTCTAGTTATATTAAAAAAATTTTGGATTGTCAAATGATCTAACAAATTTATTATATTTTTGTAAATAATTTTAATTACTAAAAACTAATTTGAATATATTAAAATCTGAAAAATAAGATAGTAAAAATAACACTTTTTTTTCAAATTCTTTATCCATTGATATAAATGTTTCATTATAATGTATTCTGACATTATTTATAATAAATATTCTAATTTTTTATAGAAAAAATAATATTTATGAAATCCAAATATTAAAATAAAAATATTTTATTATAAAATCTAATAAATTAAAATAATTATAAAGGATAAAATTAAAAAATTCAGAATTAAAAAGAGAATAAAAATTGATAAAATAAAAAAATCAATTTAATATAATACAAAATTAACTAATGCAAAATTAATAGAAAAGTTATAATATAAAAAATAATTAAAAAAATTAAATTTTATATTAATTTTTAAATTATAAAAAAAATAATTTATATATATAAAAATAAATATTTAATAATAAAAAAATTTAAAATACAAAAATTAGTCTAAAATCAAAAATTATTAAAAATCAGTTTAGCTGATTAGTATATATCAAAAATCAGCCAAGAATCAATCAAAATTCAATTATTTTATTTATAACTAATTAGCTATAACTGATTATTATACATTAAAAATTGGTAAAATTTAACCTATCTTATTTATAACTGATTAACATCTGATTTTTATCTAATTGATATATATTGAAATCAACTAAAATATATCAAAATAAAATAAAATTCAGTAGGAAA